AAGAACGAGTATCTAAGTTTCTTGTAATCCTGCGATGCTGGTTGGTGGGGCGTGCGTGTAAGGGGGTGTTCGTGTGGTTCAGATCGGACGGTCATTAATCAATTAATCAATTAATCAATCAATCAATCAATCACTTCATCCAATTGCACGCTTCAAATCATTTCTTAAGCAGTGCTACTATCTCCCTCTCTTTTTCTCTCCCTCTGTTTTTCTTCATTTTTTTTTTTAAAAATAATCTTGTTTAATTTTTTTTAATGGGAAAAAGATTATTGATAAAATAAATCCTCACAGTTTCTTCAATTTAAACATCTCTTCGCTGCAACTAACATTGTCCACGTGTTAATCTGGTTGGTAAGATTAGTTTTAAAATGTCTCCATTGCAATAGCTTCTTTTTTTTTTTTGTGGTTTTGATTAAATGTCGTTTATGGACTATTGCCCCCCTCCCCCTTCCCTTTTTTTTTTTTAGTCATACCATGGGTTTACTTTTAGGATATATCTACTCGGAGAGGGTAGTTCATAAAAGTTTTTATTAAAAAAGTAATTAAAAATATTTTATAAAAAATTATTAAATTTTGTAATAAAATTTTATTAAATTATTAATTTTATTATATTTAATAAAAAATAATAATAAACAGTTATTAATTAGTCTAATATAATTGTTAAAAAAAATTAGTCTAATCTATGAAAATTTATAAGAAAATTTTTTTTTCATTCAATAGGTAAAAAGAAAATTTTTTAAGTTAATCATTATATTTAAAAAATAAATACTCAAAATATTATTTTTATATTTTTATAATATTAATATATAAAAATACATAAATAATTTTATAAAAAAATTAAAAAAAATTAAAAAAAAAAAGGTTTTTCCTTAACCGAATACCCCTTTAAAGATATGTTTTGTACGACGAAAACAAAGGGGAAGGGGAAGGGGAGAGGGACGGGGATGGACAGGGATGAGGGGGATAATATTATTTAATTAGTTAAAAATCTATTTTTTTATTTTATGAGAACTAAATATTATCTTATAATTTATTTAATTTAAGAGAAATAAAATGAGACAAAATCTTTTATTTATTCATATTAAGATTTTAAATCAATGTACTAATTTACCCAAAGAAAATATTTTTTTTCTCCCCTCCCCGTCGCTTCACTTTGTTTCACTCAAACGAAACAACTAATTAAAGTAAAGATCTTCAAATCATTAAAAAAAAGGGGAGCAAGACTCAAAATTTCATTACAAAAGCTCAAAGCCCATCTGAGATTAAAAGCCCGGAAACCCATTATTGGCTTATAACGAATCCATGGTCCATGGAGCTTCACCCACAAATATTTCGGCCCACTGTGTAGCACCTCAAAAATCAAGCTCACCTACATCTGATCCCATCTAATCATCATCGACGTAGTCGTCTTCCTCCTTGCAGCTGCACCTGAATCAATGGATTCTCAGCATCCGATGGATCCCCCATCCTAACATAGTAACGTTAACTACTAGTCTTCTTCCCCTTTCACCATAATGTCCATGGCAATGCTGCCACCATTGATCCTCTTCCTCCTTTCTTTTCCACCGGCTTCCCATTCCGCCCCGCACAAGCTACCCCCTGTTCCCATTCTGCCCATTCCCTCAGCTTCCCAGCTCTAATGGCAACTTTCTTCCATAGCACTCTTCCTCCACTTAGGACACAACACATTCACCGATTCAGAATGGGGGTGCGGCAACGTATCATTGGGTCCGGGTCGCCAAGGATGCTGGGTTTTCGCGCGTGCTCCTCACGGAAAACCACCACGATGGGTTCTGCCTGTGGCCCAGTGAATATACGGATTACTCTGTCAAGGCGAGTTCTTGGAGAAATGAGAGCGGTGATGTTGTGGCAGAGCTGGCTGCGGCAGCGAAGGAGGGTGGAATTGGGTTGGGGCTGTATTTGTCTCCTTGGGACAGGCATGAGTTGTCGTATGGGAAGAGAGTGGAATACAATGAATTCTACATGGGGCGTATGACCGAGTTGTTGACTAGGTAATCATCGATCATGTCCTGTTTTTTCTATCTGGGTTCTATTGCGTACTCTTACATTGATTTATTTTCCAAAATTCAAGATATGGGTTTTGATTAATCTGTTCCTAGTCATACTTTCCCCACAATTCCAATGTTCTTGATTAATTTGCTCCATGTGAGTTTTTTTGAGTTGTTTAGTGAAGAGAGATATAAGCATTGTTTTTTTATTTTGAACTGGGTGAGTAGGTATGGAGAGACCAAGGAAGTATGGTTGGACTGTGCAAAAGGGGAAGGGGAAGAGGACATGGAGTATTTCTTTGATTCTTGGTTCAGACTAATCCGCCAGCTCCAACCCCGGACTGTAATATTTTCCGATACGGATCCTGATACCAGGTGGATTGGTGACGAGGCTGGTGTTGCTGGCTCTACTTGTTGGTCTCTTTTCAATCGAAGTAATGCAATGATTGGCGGCACTGATCCCCAGTAAACACGCTTTTCTGCCATTTTTATTTCTTAGAATCATAGTTCATTGGTTCCTCTAGCATCTACTAGCTAGTAACGATCATTTGAAGTATAATTCTGCTTTTTTAATGATTATCATAAGCTGTGATGTTGAGCGCTGGACCTGATTTGTTTTAATCATTATCTAGCTACTTCCATTCTTTAAATGGTTGCATTCAACATATAGTCTCAGGGAGGAGATGAACTAGGTAATGATTGGGTACCTGCGGAATGTGATGTATCCATCAGGCCTGGTTGGTTTTGGCATGCATCCGAAGTTCCAAAGTCTCCATTGAAGCTTCTTGACATATACTACAAATCTGTTGGCCGGAACGGCCTTCCGTTGCTGAATGTGCCTCCGAATTCTTCAGGGCTGATCTCCAATGAGGATATAGAAGCGCTTCAGGGATTTAAGGAGCTTCGAAGATCCATATTCTCCAATAATCTGGCTAAGAATGCTTTCATTAATGCTAGCAGTACACGGGGAGGCCATGTTGATTATCGATTCAGCCCCCATAATGTTCTTGAAAAAGGTATCTACTCATATTGGGCTCCAGACGAGTATCAATCTGATTGGACCCTGTATTAGATCCTCAGGAATCGGTGTCTTTCAGTGTTTTACAAGTTCAAGAGCCAATTCATATGGGACAGAGAATTATGAAGCTCCATCTCGAGATATTGGATGAGCATGAATAGAAGAAAGTGACTAATGGTAGCACGGTGGGACATCAGAGGTTGCTGCAGTTTCCACCAGTTCAATCTCGGTACCTAAAGTTTGTGGTCGACAAGATGCGGACCGATCCTCTCGTTTCATATCTGGGGATTTTCAAGGATAAGTTTTCTATTTTGGGCAATACTAGTAATGCAACGTCATGGAACCTGCAAGTAAATGCTAGTCAAGTTCTCCAACAAATGACATACAATCGTTCTCGAACTGAAACTGCAACAGCATAGTCTGTAACTGTACAAATAATGATTGTTCAAATCTTGAAAAATCCAACTGAACAATATAAGCAACAAGACCTTTCAATTTTGGAAGGTTAAATGCTCATTTTGGTTCCTCAACTTTATCGGTTTGTACATTTTTGGTCCTTAAAGTATTTTGTGCATATTTTTGCTCCCTCAACTCTAAAAAATGCACAACGGTTATTCTTCCATCAATTAGGGCTGTTAACTCCACACATGTGACATTTTTTATATATATTTTTTGATGACATGGAGAAGATAACTTAAAAAGATACTGATCTAGATTTTTTTTATGACATGTAATCTTCTTGAGATTCAAATGTGCCAAAGCCCCTTCAATGGGTCCCACATTGCCTGCAAACCATCGATAAAGAAAGAAAGATGTCTTTTGGGTTTCTCTTTCAAGAGTAAAAAAGATCCAAAAGAGCAGAGATTTTCTTCAAACCCAAACCAAAATTTCCTTTAATATCCAACAGAGCCTTACCCCTTTCTTGATAGACATTACAATTTTTTCTCGGCAACCAAACAAATTGAAACCCATTTCTCAGCATCCAAACACCCAAACTATATAATTTTCTAGCCAAGCAAATGAAAACCCACTAAAAATTGTTTCTTTGCACATTAGTCATTGCTTCTGTTCTTTTCATCGCTGGCAATGTTTTTCTTCATTTTGAACATTAAAATCATTTAGACAATAGTTAAGAAATATGAAGCAGATCCCAAAAATCCCTCATAATCTGGAATTTGCATAAACTCTTCGCAACAAATATAAAATAATAATAATAATAATAATAATAATAATAAAAGTGGAGTTGGGTTCAATGGAACCCAGTCTAGATTCCACCGAACCCAATAGAATTGGGTTCAAACTCAAGCTAGGTTCCCTTAAACCAAATCAATTGGGTTTGAGGGAACCCAGTAACACAGGGGAAGAAGAGGAAGAAAGAAAGGCAGATAGATCGAAAGAGGGGAAGAAGATGGATCAAGAAAGAGAGACAAGGGTATTAAGGTAAATTTGTAGTTTTTTATTTTTTAATAAAAAATATAAATACTAATCTAATTTGGTATATGAGTTGACGTTTTTATTTTTAATTTCTTTGATGTGTTATTGATATGTCATAAAAAAAATTAAAAAAAAAAGATCACCGTGTAACTTTTTAATTGCCATGTCACAGATAACTGATGGAAGATCAATATCGTGTATTTCTTAGAGTTGGGGATAAAAAATGTGCACAAAATACTTTAGAGACCAAAATGAGCATTTAACCATTTTGGAATCCAAGGAAACGAGAACTAGAAAACAATTTTTGCATCAAAATTACAGTAAAAAGTAGACAAAGGAAACCAAAACATAAGGTGATTGGATTAGAATTTAACCAAATGGGCAAGCCAAGATGAAAGAAAAAATTTGGACCATTTCTCGATTTGTGCGTGTCATCCTTGCGCAGGGGCCATGCTAATCTTCTCTGTATCGTTCCAATTTTATCAGATGTCCCCGAAGGGACAGTCTGTTCTCATCCGTTGTACCTTATATACACTTCCACGTTTAAGTAACTGGCCCATGTGGGATTTTGGTTAGGTACCAACAAGACAGTAGAACTAGTTGCGTTGTCTTTCAACTAGAAGATCTGGGCCTAAATAAAATCAATATTATGTTTATTTTGCCGGCTTTGGCCCATGATATAATAGTGATGATCACACAAAAAAAAGGACAGGAAGGTCATTTTTTGGGTATGAGGGAATTTTCAGTTGAAGAAAGATTTAAAATATTTTTAACCTTTTTGGTTGGGCTTCTGACACCAAGAGAATTGGTTATTGGACTGTAACCGGAGAAGACAGAGATACAGGCCCAGTGTGTAACGTCCAGAAATGCGGATCTGTTATGAGATGGGCAAAGCCGAAGGGGATAAACTACACAAAAGGAATTGGCTATTTTATTCGTTCTTATAATCTGTATTCTTCTTCGTTTCCGTCCGTTGCAAAGGGGAAAAGGTATCCTTTTCACCGCTCTGTTTGTTCTGGTTTTTGGTCAAGAATTTTAGCTGCACCTTTCATTTTTATCTAGTTAAGATGATTTATCCATGATTAATGGTTTTATGATATTGGAAGGCATGGAATGTTAATTCCCTCCAGAAAAGCACCAACTAGGCAATGCTGACCCAGACAGTAAAGTTGCCTGCGAGACCTGCACCAAGAAAAACATGGTTATGGTCTTTGGTGGGATTACCACTAAAGCTATGATAGGTAGACCTGTCGTGGCATTGGATATATGTCTCCCCTGATGTTGACCTTGATGTTGACAACTGCAAGTTCCTTTTCAATATTGAGCAACAAAGCCCTGATATTGCCCTAGGTACCCATGGCCATCTTACTAAGAAATTACATGAAGAGATTGGTGCTGGTGACCAAGGTCACATGTTTGGATATGGTACAGATGAAACCCTTGAGTTCATGTTTCTCACCCATGTTCTTGCAACTCAGCTTGGAGCCAGATTCACTGAGATGAGAAACAATAAGACATGCCCCTGGTTGAGGCCTGATGGCAAAACCCAAATGACTGTTGAATATCAAAATGAGGGTGGGCACAACGATTCCGATCAGGGTGCATATTACCCTCATTTCCACTCATCATGATGAGACTGTCACCAATGAACAGATTGCCGCAGACTTTAAACAGCATGTGATGTGCTCTTCGTGGTGGTGGTGGCTTCTCAGGCAAGGATCCAACAAAGGTGGATAGAAGTGGTGCTTATATTGTCAGGCAAGCTGCAAATGGTGTTGTGGCTTCTGCTTGCCACTATATCGTACAGGTTTCTTGTGCAATTGGTGTGCCAGAACCATTATCTCTGTTTATGGCCACTCATGGAACAGGAAAGATCCCTGACAAAGACATACTTGAGTTAATCAAGGAGAACTTCCATTTTGGGCCAGAGATGATTGCATTTAATCTTGACCTGAAGCAAGGAGGCAACTTCAGGTATCAGAAGACTGCTGCTTAAGGACATTTTGGTCGTGATGATCCAGACTTCACTTGGGAGACTGTCAAGCTTCTTAAACCCATGGCCTAAAGTCAAAATCTCTTTGTATAGATGATTTTGTATCCGGACTATATCTTGTTTTGTCATGCCTACTTCACCCATTTTTTTGGCCATCCTTATTCTTGAGGAATTTATTGTTTTTCTTTATGAAGTTTCATTCTTTATGAAGGTTATGCATATTGTATGTGTTACTTCTGCAACGGTATGTGCCAGAAGAGGCAGAACGGGAACAAGTGAGCGGAAAGAAAATCCCAGTTGCAATACAATTAGCTAATTCCAGAATCAGTAGATTGCTTTTTCTTTTGGTTATGGCATTGGGGACATTACTTGGGGGCAGTCCTTATGGATGCATACATGGCTGCTATGGCAACGCGCCTACTGGCTAAACGTAAATAACAGTTTTGGATCAATGAAGTTTTTACGCTTCATCCAAAATCGATGCATCCACGGCCAATTTTCCTTGCATCCAGCTATTTAGCATCTGCAGGGAAATTTTCGGCTGATCCATTGGAACCATGTGACCTGCATTATGGACCTGAATGTGTTTTTCCCAGAAAACAATTAAGACATTAGAAAATTGCATAAAAAATAAATTTTTGCACAGAAAATAAATTTTTGCACAGAAACAAGCACACAAGCATACAGACACAGATTCAAATGTAATGAGTCTAAAACCTTGAGGAAAGACAAAACGCCATGAGTCTTCAGCTCTCCGGTTTCTTTACCATCAACTACAAAAGGAACAGTCGGAGCTGCCCGAAACTCTTTCTGGCCAGACCATTTCAATGCATTAACCCACAGGGAATTTCCTGCACAGAGTGAAATATCATCCATTTTAACCGGACAGACACAGAAAACGTTAAATTGTTTAACTAATATCTACATAAAATCTGTACAGGCCCTCACCAAGCCAGTTGCATATGAGGTTATACTCCCCTTCATACAAAAGAACCCTGATACCATCCTCAAGCAGCTCAGGAATTTCGACTGCCAGATTCCTCATCCAGTCTTCCATCATCCCCATATACACATCAGCGCTGCAGGAGACAAAGCTTATGTCTCCAACCCCAAGTGCATACCTGACTGATTTCTCATTAAGGAATGTCTCCATGGCTGAGAAGTCATAGCACAAGGATCCCTCGCATTGCTTTCTAATATCATAGTACTGTGGATCAAAGATTCAATAAAATCCATCATCAAAACCGAAAATGCATTCTGATTGAATCATTTTGTGCTATTTACGGCATGCTAACTTACGTTTATGTTACCAACAATAAGCAGGATCTGATCAAATATCCTATCGCAGGTTTGGTAAGAAGAAATACAAGCATTCCCACCCTGAGATTCTGATAAGAGAGAGAGAGAGAGAGAGTCCATGATCTCTTGATTTTCCATGAATGAATAAGGAATACATTTGATCTCGATCTTGTATAAAGATGAAAAACAATTACCACAGGATTTTGTAGACTGGACGCATTTTGGAACATTCTGCTTGATGTCAGTATAATCCGATTTTT